TGCTTCCCCCACTCACGTCATGGGTAGGAAAAGGAAGAAAGGATAAAAGGATGGAACTGAGTGGAGATGAAAAAGCTGGAAGCAGATGGTAGGAGAATTCCAGAGTAAGTGTTGTCTGTATGACCTTCTGTTGGTTGGCTGTCTTGCTTGACGTTGAAGCAAATCACAGTGGTTCTGGGAGGAAAATTTAAAAATGGGAGAAGCCATTTTGTCCATATCTTGACTCTTCAGGCAGTTTGGATTTGTATACTGTGTCCATCATATTGCTGTTATGAACAGCCTCAGTTGCGGACCCAGAAGGATTAACCTCCTCCTTAACAGGAATATTCTGAAGTGACTGATAACAGCTCTCTTCATCGTTCATGTACAGCAAGTGCAATGATACGACATGTGAAGAGAACCTGTAAGGATGGGAAAGTATCCAGCTAAGAATCTCATCCCACTACTTTACATGGGTATATCTAGTGCAGAAAAGACTAGTGCTAAATCCCCACTACAAAAGTGATAACTTGGAGAAAGGGAACATCAGCTAATGCTTAGCTGAAGCTAAATATGAGCATCAGCAAATTTATCTGACGTCTTCTGACACCGTTTCAAAGGGCTGTCAGAGAAGGTGGCCTTGTCCTTCTATACTCTTGGAATAAACAGAAAAACACCCTACACCACTAAGACATCCAAAGCTACAGAGATGCCTTTGGATGATGAAAAAATTATCTTTCTGGATTTTAATTTGAACTTTCCTCTTTGATGGCCTTCCTTCCTAGAATCACAAAATAATTCAAGTTTGACCAGCATTTCTGGAGGTCTGTAATTAAAACTCCATTTTCAAAGCAGGTCCAGATATATTAGGTGGTTCAAGAACTTGTCCCAGTATTTGAAAGTCACTATAATGTAGACATTACCAACTTTCCTGTTCAACCTGTTCAAATATCTGATTACCTTTATGTGGAAAATCTTAAAAAAATTGTTGGCCATTTTTCCTTTTTTAACCACTTTGCACCTATCATGCAATTCTTTTTTCTCAGACTGAAGTCACTGATAGTGACTTCAAACCTGAAGCTAGCACATTGTCAGTCTTTAAATTTCTTTAAAAATACTCAATTTATAAAGCTGGTTTTGGTTTCTAGGAGAGCTCTGTGCCTCACTTCACGTACTGTAGTTCTTCCAACAGGTTTATGTCTGAGGTAAAAATTACTGTGCATATCAGCAAATATGTTTTCTTTTGTCCCAGCTCTAACAACAAAATCAAATTTATCTGCCAGTTTGCTGGCATTCTGTGTCTTTTCCAAATCCTGATAAATTATCATGCAGGAATGCCAACCATTCATTATAGAAATGATCCATATCTAATGAAAGAGGTACTGTACTTCTGTATTCCAGGGTAGTGGAAATTAATTTGCATAGTGGAGGCTTCAAGGGTCTGAGTATATCATCTATTCCCAAGCTGGGCCCATTTTCTGGAAAGAATACATCATTAACAGAAATAAATATCTATAATAAAACTATGCATGTGCTAAGGGGCATTTTTATTCCAATGTCAGCCAATCTTATTAATTTCATTACATAAATGTATGGCATAGACTGATATATCTATCAAACCCTTGCAAATCCAGAATGGATGCAAAATTACCACAACTCAGCCCTGTGTTCTCCACACTAGGCCACACCACTGCCTTTAACTTTCGACTGCTGAGCAGGACCCAAAACTGCAATGTAATCACAAAGAGAACAAACCATGTGGGGGTACAATGTGTGAAATGAGGGCATGGTCAGGTGACTATTTCAGATCATCTCCTGTGTCCCTTTTGCATAACAACAGAGACAAACCCTGACACGGAGCAACAAGTGCTTTATTTTGTAGTGTGTTAATCTGCAGTCCGGGTAACTTGAAGGACTGTCAGAACTGTCAGAAAAAAAAGGTCAGTTTCTTAGCAGAAACTAATAAAAACCATGCTAACTAATTTGACCACCCCTTAACAAGAGGAATCACAACACTTCCCATAAACTGGCTCAGGGAAGATATTCCTACCTAGACATAGTCTAGCTTCTCACCAAAATTCAGCTAGGTCAAGAGGTGCTTTGAGAAGCAACAAAACCAAAAATGATAAGGTACTGCATGTTTCTTGTCTCCATGAGTCCCCTAACTTGTAGTAACAGGTCTTTGAACCTCAGGGTCTTTGATGACATGGCACCAGCAAAGCAATAGCCTTGATTCTGTAGATGCCTTACAGTGGTTTCCTGTGTGTTTATTATGGAAGCCCCACATGCACAGTGTGAAACCAAAGATTATTTTTCTTCCAAAGGCCAAACTTGCATGGAATTCTGTTAATTACATGCACTGTGGAAATGTCAGCCTTTACTCCTCTGTATATACAGCATCCTTTGTCCTTCACATAATGATTTTGAAGAGCTTTGCAAATATCATTTGATAGAATAATAAGGTATTATTATTGAATCTTTATGTCTCCTGCTGTCCCAGGGGCATTGACCTTGCTTCCCCAATACAGAGGTCTGTCTGCCAGGCTAATCATACTGATATCTGAGTACCTCAGGAGATCCTTATGTGGCAACATTTCTACAGAAACTCTAAACTGGCCAGACATACTGATAAGATCCATGTATTACTCCTCTGCATTTCTGCAAGGTTATAAACCAATTCCAATTTCAAATGTAAATCCCCTTCCTGCTGACATGTGGAGAGATGCATGGTTCAAATACCTCAAATTGTCCCCAGATGTCACGGTTCCCTATACAGGTAGCAATGGATGCTATTTCCAAGCAGATAGAACCACAGGGAACTAAGATGAATGAATCCCCCATCCACTCTTTTCCAGCAGATATGTAGTACTGATAAATGTCCTTGAACTACTGAGTTACTATGGGAATAACCTTTCATTTATGTCCTTCACTTTCATTTGCCAGGACAATGCATTCATGCTGTTATCTTTTAGCCATGGACAACCAGATATTAGCTCACCTTCCCGTAAGTTTATTTCCCCTTGATTTGATGTTGTATAGTAATATCCATAAATATCCATGCACACAGCAGGGTATATGCAATACATTTGACAAGGCATGGTTACCCCTAGCACAATACCACTTTCTAATACAATTTTGGCTGGTTTCCACAGTTGTCAAAAAGTCTAGGTTAGGTTGATAGATCTCTTCAAATGTACAATTTCTGGCAATCAAGTTTTTATTCTTCCTTAAAGAAGTCCTGATACTTATGTAAGGAAGAATAAAGAAGGAGGGCATTTTCTTTCAGGAATGAGGTATTTTAATAGTTGCTGAACAAATTATGATACAAAAGCTCCTACCTAGAGTTATGCAGGTATTTCATGGCAGCATCAGTATCTTTTACATATCTGCACAGCTGCAAAAATGTCCAACAGTTTCATTTTTCCACTCAGAAGCTTTTTATTTATTTTATTTTTTGAAACAAAATGTCAGAGCTCTACTAGTACCTCACCACTTTTTATTTGTCCTGAAAAGCCTTGTTTTCTCCCTCTAGTGCAGTGAAGATGTCTAGGCTATAGTTCCTTTTATTGCAATAACTCTGGGAACCTCCACATGAAGAACGGCTTTGATATAATGGCACTGTTGTTACACCAATTTCTACCAAACCAATTAGCTACAGTCAGCAATCAAAATATTCTTTAAAATACACTTATTTTAATTCAGACCTATCATGAACAATCTGCCTGTCACTGGTACAATGTGTATGTTTAAAAACTTGTCCAAAGCTGCAAAAATTCATGGTCTCATTACTATATAAACACAATAATATGAAATATGTTTTATAACCTGGACCGGGGGAAGAAAACATATATAAGCTTATGCCTATTGCTTAAAACCAACGGAGAATCAGTACATTCTTGAGACATAAAGCTGTACTTTGAACCCTGAGTTCAAAATATTGAGAATATAAAAATATTCTCCTGTGATGAATTTCAAAACCAGGAATATCATAGGACTCATCCTCGTCCTTACAAGTCCATTACAGATCTTGTTGACAGGTTTCCGTACTTTAAAAGTACAGTGTTCCCAGCTTCAAGGTGTAGAAATAAACTCAATTGCGTTTCTAAATCTTTATGGCTCATTGAAGTCTTGGCGTGGGAACATTTCAAATTTCTTTCGGTCTCTCTGAAATACTTTGGGATGGACACTCATTTGTAAAACTGAGGTACAGCACTCTGCAGCTGACAAGTTCCACAGCTGTTGCACACAAACATTTTTTATGGGAGATAAGAGAGATCTAAAAGGCATCTTATGCAACATCATTAGATGAATCAGAAATAGGATACCCATGTGATATTTTGGTTGCTCTCATTCAACAAAAGTGTCGGTGGGAGTGAAGATAAAGTTGTACATCGATATAGAATTTATTTGGTGGGAAAAAAAAGAAGTGTTATCTTTACTTGAACTGGGAGTGTGCAGCAGTAAATAGCTGAGTGTTGGTAGGTATTTGGTGGGTTGGAAATGCTGGTAAAACACAGGGAATGGAGGTTCTCTGGTAAGGAATAAATTATGCTAAGTAGTATATGAGCTGCCATGAAATTATATTTAGGTTATTTCTGATACTTCAAATGAACTTCCAGACCAGCATATTAACATTGACATTATCATTTATTCAAGCTTCAGGAACCTGGGATCATTTCTCATCTTGATTCAATCACTTTGGTTAAACCTCTTGTTAACAACAGAGGAAAAAAATGGATTTTCCAAGGGATCGCTATTTATTAGACAATAAATTTAAAATGACACCGCAAATACAATTTCATGGTTTTTGCTCTTTTCATTTCTTTAAAAAAAACAAGGATGGAGACAAATAACAGTGCTTAAAACATCATGAGGACAATCTTGATTTATCTACTCCAATACAAACACATATCAAATGAAAATTATAAATGTCTAAATACCACACCCATGATAGATTGAGAGTTTTACTTCTTTGACTCATCTTTACAAATAAATCTAAAAAACAATGATAGTGTACTTACATATTTCAGATCCTCATCTGTCTAAGAATAGAAAGCACTGAAGTCATGTGTCAGAATAACTCGAGTGGTCTCTTCTCAATTCCCTTTTTGTGATCACCATCCACAAAAATCAGTGCGCCACTGCAGTGGTCGAGCCATCCTCACTACAGAAAAGGAGCCAGGCGTTGAGTGTCAGACAAGACTGGCATGGATTTGTTAAGGTCGTTTGCATGGCAGCTGTCAGCATTCTAAGACCCAGATTCCCTCTATCTGCCAGAATACTTCCATCAGAAGCCAGGCTATCACATCAGACAGTAATTGGTACCTGTGTTTAATGTCTGTATTGATATGGGTAAATGGGTATCTACCTCCATATCTACGGGCCAGCCGTGTCCCCCTGCCTTGCCCGAGGAATAGTTATAACATGTTCCAGGCTTGTTCCTGCCCAAGATATGCACACCATACCACTATCCATTGGTGGCATCACACATTAGATGCGGTCTCAAAGGTTGGATAAGGAATATATCAAATGTGAGGTGCTTCAAGCTGAATGGAATGAAACTGGACCTAAAGTAGCATGCACACATGTTTAAGCATGGAGAAAGAGGCAGTATGCTTTTCATGGAACAAACTTTCTAACTGCAATTTTTTCTTCCTTTTCTGTCTATATTTTATGCTTAATGCTGGTAATAAAGCATATTTCATTATTTTAGAATATCACTAAAATACTGTAGGTTTTTGCAGATTACATTGCTTTTTTTGAAGAAATTTAGGAGAGACACTATGTCTGACACCTGGATGAGTCCAACTGTTTCAACATACATTATCAAAATTACCATCACAGTCCCATACTGCATATTGCTTAGACACTTTAACTCAGTAATGTCCTGGGCACTTTTTTTAGCAGCTCTATATTTAATGGGGACTTGAAGACAACTCTCAGTTTTAGAGGTACTTGAATCTATATTTACCAGGAGACACACTGGGTAATGTCATTCTGTTTAGTGACAACACTCACTAACACAATGTGTGGCACAGAAGAGAAAATGAGCCAGTATATGATCTTGCTTAGGGCCAACAGTTTTTCATAGGTCACAATTAGCATGCCTCTCAGTGTTATCAAAAATAGCTTGAAAAGTTGTGACTGCAGATGCAAGATGCAGTCCAGCTCAGCTGTCCACATAAAACTGTCCAGTGCAACTAGAGATGCCCTGGTTTTTCTGATTGTCCTTCAGCGGCTGTCCAGAAAGACACAGGTTTCTTGCAAATCCTGCATCTTCTCTGCCAGTCTCTTAAATAAGCTTGGGCATCTAAAACGGCTTGGGGCATCTCAAATGTCTCTAAGTTTATTGTAAAACTAAACTTTGCACTGAATCACAAGTTATGCATTGACTACAGGACTCTGTGATCCCCCATCTCACTATTGCTACTCCCCATATGACAAGCCCAGCACATCACCCCATTCCACAAGTACTTGCAGGAAATGAGTTGTATAACAAGACACCAAAAATTTTGTGTTGTACGCTACTTATGCACATGTATGCATGCTATATCAGAGCTCATATTTTTCATTCTTTAATTAATATTGCCTTTTTGTAAAAATAAAGCAGTGGGATTCCAGAAAGCCATTATGTTTTGTTTGTTAGGAATAAATCTATTCCAGTAGAGATAATGCTGTAAAATGTTGATCATGTTACAAGTTGGCCCACCTACTGTCACTTCAGGAAGCAGAGGTTTAAATATAAAACTACTATTTTTAACTGAGTTAATGTTGGAACTGAAGGAGGAGACATTCAAGCTGGGGTAAATAGTAGCCTGGCTGATGTAAGTAGCAGTATATTGATTTGAAGCAGTGAAGCAACTATCAGAAACAGTAAAGCTTTTCTCCACCAAGAGCTTGACAAATGTATTTATAATATTATTTTGATAAAGAAAAGTCACAGCAGAAAGTTGAGATTATTCAAAGGTATCTCAGAAGTCCTGAAAAACTTTAATGAGAAAACAAACGGAAATATACAGCACATGTCCTAGCCCAGTAGATGCTTCAAATCCCTGAGCTAAAATATGCACATTATATGTGTTTTGTTTACAATAAGCAGTATATTCCAGACATAATTAAAATACAGAAAATTATTATTGGATACCTCTGGATGATAAAAAAGACCTAAACAACCCTCCACCAAATCTCTGAGGTATTAAATAAAAGCAGGTTTTATACTATAAGTATTCATTTATGTTTTCTTCTTGAAGCTGTAGTTCCTAAAGTACTGTATGTTAGATTATTATTAAAAACAAGAGCATAACCATCTGATTTTATTACTAAACTGGAAATAGGGAAAATAAAAATAACAAAAAATACTTAAAACTCACAATTTTACATACCTTAGTTTACCTTGACTTCTTAAATATTCTAATTTTTCTAATACTCTATTTATTAAATATTCTAATGGGCACTCTTTCTGGGTGTCTATTCAATAGCACTTGGCCTTTGTAATACAATATAAACAAAATTTAAAAAGTCTAAGAAGTTTAACCCAATAGGAACCTTACTTCTCCAAAAATCCAATGAAAGGAGCCAAAGCTGTGTTTTCTTTTTAAATTACTTTCTCTCTCTTTAGCTGAGGTGTTTAAAGACTCCATAATGAAGCACAGCACAGAGTACAGCACAGGAGGACTGAGACTATGGGCTTTAGGGAGATTAATGGCTGCAGAGCGGTTCGCTTTTTGTTACATTAACCTGCCCAGAAAAGCAATTCCCTCCACAGCCCCATACCCAATCCCCATAAGTGGAGACATATGGCAGCTCTGTGATACAGAGAACACACTGTGGTAGTTTTATTGATACTGGGACTGCTTCTTAGCCAGTATAAGTCTTCTCCACTCAGCTATGAATTGATCCCATTGACTCTCGGCAAAAGCAGAACAGTCATAAAGGTTAATGTTGCCCTTGCAGTCAGATTCCTTCTCTGAATTGCCCTGCGAAGGTGCCTCTCTCCACTGACTCCAGGGAGACTGGCAGATTAAATTTAGACTGAGCTAACTCTTGTGCCTCTGCTGCTTTGGTGGGATCAATCTGTAAAGACGTGCTTTTCTCTTTGTCTGTGATTCTTAGATGCAAGTCTTTTGATGGAAAACCACTAGAAGTAGCAAAGAGAGTGGTGCAAGTTGTGCACGGCCATCACTGTTTTCTTAACTGGAGAAATGTCAAATGAGCAGAGCCTCTTTCTCCCCCTCTCCCTCCCTTCCTCCCTCCCTCTCTGCCTCCATCTTCTGCTTATCCATTATCTATCTGAGGACAGTAGTCATCAAAACATTTCAAAACCCATATCCCAACATTTCCATATTGAACTAACAAGAATACTTGGAACTGGAGAGCGGTGGTGCATTTTGGAAGGATCTTGCAAAAGGGGTTTTCAGCTCAGATTCTTGGCTAAAGGACAGAAGGTTTGGTGATGCAGCACAACATTGCACACACACAGACACACAGAGACAATTTCATATTTTCTGCTTCCCTCCTCAGATTTCTCTCTTTGAGCCATCAGCTTCTCTGCTAACCCTGAAACTGCAAGGAATTTCATTCTGTGGCTTGCGTTTCCTCCAAAGCAGAATTGCAGGACCTCAGTTCCTCCCTAGAAATTATGTCTCCCGGAGTCTTTATTCCCTCTTGGCCTCAAACCACTTCCTGCAATTTCAGAGCCACTGAAAACAGCAGTTTCAAATTATCTATTAACCCATGAAGACTGAGCCAGCCTGGATTCACCAGAGTTTCTTGGATGCATTTTCCTTTTGTCACACTTTTCTCCTATCCCTAAACTTTGAAATAAAATTGAAAAGATTCTTCCTCAGACAAGTTTTGGCCCATTATTCAGACCTTATCCTCTGAATACTGTTTTGTTTCCACCTCCAGACTACTGCAAACTGCGATTTACCAAATCTATCTTTCTTGAAAAATTCTGATGACCTGTAAAAGCTGAAATGTTAACTATCAAACCCCTTGGGTATGGCCACAAATGATTATGTAAGGCTCGAGGCTCAATGCCAGATGAACAGACGACAGACCCATTTATCATCAGTAGGAACAGGCACATTAATTGGCTATGACACCAGTACCATCCTTCAGCTTTAACAAAACTCTTCTTGATTCTGCATGTTTCCCCAGAACACCCTTTATTAAATAAGATAAATAATATTGAGGCCAAGGGTCACACTGCTTCATCTGAGGAAACTCAATTATTTATGAATACTTCCCTGACTCAGGCTTGGTAACCTGTCAGGCTGGCAAAGAGAGCTTTTTGGTCTACTGACTAAACATTATTATTCTACACAGACGTGTCTTCTGTATTAGAGAATCAACAACAGAGAAATGAAAACACATTAGTCCTGTAAAGCTTCTGGACTGGGGGAAGACTGCTTGAACACTGGAACAGTTTATCTCCAAGGGCTGTGGAGACTCCATCCTTGGCAACATTCAAAACGTGAGTGCACACATCCCTGGGCTCTTGTGGCTGACGCTGCTTTGAGCAGTGTGTGTTGGACTGGATGATCTCCAAGCTTCCTTCAAGCCTCTGTGATATCCTGTAGTTCTCAGTCCATGAGATGAAGCTACAGTAGTGAATTCCTCAGTCTCTGTTCTGGGCTCTTCCATGTACTCACACAAAAGCCAAAATACTTGTAACTGGCTACTTCTTCCAGCTGTTAAACCATGCAAAGAGGAATTTAATCCTAGGAGACCCTCTTGTCAATTTTCTTGCATGCAGCTGAGAATGTGAAGAAGTAACCTGTGGCCACTGACTGGTATGGTACCTGCAGAATTCCCCTACAGTTAAGTGAACTCTTCTGTAAAACAAATTGACCCTAATTGGCACAGTTGCTATGCAAATATTTAGTATGATTCCAGGCACACTGTTTTGTGTGTCATCATTGTCACCATGGATAGTACAAAAGCAGTGATACACTCCAATAACTCTGCATGAGAGTAGAGAAAGTAAAACACAGATAATTTACTGGAATGCTGACCACACATTAAAACTAGTAGACACAAAGTATTTCTTTCAAAATTGGATTTCACCTATTTCTTGAGTTTCCAATAAATGGTTCTGTGACCCATTTCATTAAAGGAAGAGCTCAAAAGTAATGCTGTAGTATTTAATGGAACTCAAAGAGG